ACTGAAAAAAATCATTGAAATGTTTGTGCAAGCAAATCCCAGAAAATTGTAGCTTAAAAGAGTTGGTGAATATGTAGATTGAGTAAATTCTATCTAAAAAATTCAGAAGAAATTTCGTTTATTAGTAAAAATATAATTTTTAATGATGCTGTGATATTGATTTAGTTAGCTGTGATGGAGTTAAGTGATAAATTTGTAAAGTTAAAAAGTTAGTTTTTCAAGCAAAGGAATAATTTTTAGACTCTATAAGGTTAGTAACCACCCAAAAATGTAGTCTTTTTTCTGTATTTTTATGGTGAACAAAACAAGTCCAGGTGGGAGGGGGGGGCCCAAAAAATATTTAAAAAAAGGTATCAATATTTTTTCAAATAAGGGATTTTTAAGGGGGGGGGGGCACAATGTTGCCAAGGGGGGGACCCAAAAAAATGTTTATGCCCCCCTAAACAAAAGCCCTCGTACGCCCCTGTTTACAGTCTTTTACCCTTGTCATAAAATAAACTCTAACAGACATAATAATATCATGGCTTTTGAAATTAGGTATTACAATGCTAATTCATAACAAAGACGATATCGAATTCGTCACTGAATTCCCATGTTTTTTGGGACACCCTGTATGATAGGCGGATCCGCATTTGAACTACTGGCGTTTGAACTACTGGTCATTTTAACTATTGTTCATTAACTACTGATAATGACGTAATTTTCTGTAGTTCAAACAACACATTATTTACTCATTTGAACTATTAAATATGCAGTTTAAAATTTTTTTATTTCACTTGAAAAAATATATAGGTCATGAAAGGTCAAACAATCACAAAATAGTTTAAATGATCAAAAATATTTCACATCCTGACATAGAAATGTTTCAAATGGACAAAAAAATAGTTCAATGAGAAAAACAATATTTAGTTCAAATTTACCTAAACATAGCTTTCAATGAGCAAAAAAATAGTTCAAATGAACCAAAAAATAGTTCAAATGAGCAAAAGAATAGTTCAAATGAGCAAAATAAATAGTTCAAATAAGCAAAAAAATAGTTTAAATAACAAAAATATAGTTCAAATAAGGCAAAAATAGTTCAAATGAGCAACAAAAAAAAATACTAATTTGAACACAATATCCAATGTGTGCAATTATAAATTTGATGATAAATGCTTGATCCATAGATATACAACTTGTATATCTATGGCTTGATCCCACTTTTCCCTGCAGGGTATGACTATGGTGACCACCACCCGGGATATTGAAGATGAATTGAATTATTAAGATAGAGATCAATGATTGATTTTGAGGTTCACAACACGGTATATGTTCTGACTTCAGATCAATCTACAGAAAAGTTGGTGTTTTTACGGAGATTGACAACAAAAGAATATTTGTAAAATTGACCTCACATGTTAGACTCATATTATCATTACTTAATTTTTGTGCTCGTTTATGTATAGGATAAGGAAGGCGCGAAGCAGAGGCGTAAATAAGGGGGTTATATGGGGTTATTTACCCCCACCCCCCTAGAATCCTGGGGGAAATATTTTAGATATTAAGTCAACATATTCTAAATGATTCTAAATTCTAAAGTAATAGTCAATGTCATTACAATTAGATGTTTTTTAATAGAAAAAAGGGGTATGGGCAATGAAAAATACATTTTTACTTCTAAATAATGTCATTTCCATATTAGATTTATTTAAGATCTTAACATATTACATTGACGACAAGAAAATATTAGGAATTAGAAATAAGAATATAAACAAAGACAATATTTTTTCAAAGTTTTGCAGAGTAGCTTTTCTAAGGATTTAAAAAAAGTTACATCTTTTTCCTCTTATCTTTTTATCTTACTTAAGATAAATTCATTTTTTTTTAACAGATCTTTGTCGTTAATTTAAAATGAATGAATATAATGAAGGATATTAAACAAGGTGAAAGCTGAAAGGTTTGAAATGAAGCCTCTATTAGATGGAGTTTGTAAATGCCAGAAATGAGGGGAAAATGCAAATCAAACCCAATCCTTATTTACGCCCCTGGCGCGAAGCTCCTTATTTGTTTGATCAAAAATTTAACAACAGCTATGAATTTGAGCGAGCCATCTAGTAAGCGTGAGTGAGAGATGAGTAGAGAAAGAGAGAGAGAGAGAGAGCTCACACTAAAACGTCTTCACGTAAGCTCAGTCTAGTGTAAGCTGAGAGCTGAGGGCGTTAACATCTCCCAGCTTTATTTGCGTAAATATACAGAGTTTACTCATTCTACTTATTCTTACAGTTACAGCACACAGTTACATTAACCACACAATTTCTATATCTGCTAGGGGAAAACAACCAACCTAAAACCGAGAAGTTTTAAGCTCAATTTTATAAATACGCATTCTTTCCACTTTTGACCTGACAAACCCTCCCCCAAGCATTAGAGTAATATGGAGTAGTACGATAATAATTAGAATTCTAGGTGGGCTAGTCGCATTAAATGCGTATTTTCAGCTCTAGGGAAAGCGTTAAAAGCTCTAAACATATTTGGAAAAAAAACCAAAAATTGCTTCTATTTTAAGTTCTGAATACCGTGATAAACTTATTTATTGTTATCTTATCGAAGGCTTTTACATGAAGAAGGAGTAGATATGTGATTTAAGTTTTACTCAGAAAAGATATTTTCACAAATAAACCATTCAAAACTTTCAAATACCTAACTTTTATCAGAAAAATAAATTCAGTTCAATGCAGGTTGAAAAGGAAATCGCAGATGAAAGAAAGAAAATAGCGAAAGTTTCAATTATTTTTAGCTTTCTACCTTCTTTGTGAATTAACCACCCAATAAAGCTTTTAGATAATTTTTTAGATAAAATTAAAAATATCATGGCTGCCCCCCTCCTCATTGGAAATTTCATAAACCGCCCCTGATTTAATTGTAATATATATAGTCACATAATAAACTATTGCAATTTTTCATGTCAAGCCATATCTGATTGTATATTGATGTATATATTCAACATACAGTGCACATTAGAAAACGAAAGTTTTCTCCTAGGTCTGCGTGGGTTTAAGAGCTGTTTAGTAACTATTTATAAACGAGATATATACTCTTTATGGAGTGACCTAGATAAATATTAATCCAACTTTTCAAGTAAGAGTAAAAAAGTCGCCATGGACATTATATCGCGTACGGATACGTCCTAAGAACAAAAAAAACTAAATATAAAATATATTATGCATAAAACATATTTTTTTAAGTCCATGGATGAATCATGGAAATGCCATGTTTTTCTTTTTACCCTTAAAATTCCTTAAAAAAAAAACTTTTAAATGATAATTATTAAAATTACAGAAAATGACGTGAAAACAGTGAGAGCTTAACACAAAATTACCCCCGGTGAATAATAATCAAATTACTAAAAAAAAAAACAATGAATGTGATATTAATAGTGATAGCCTTTGCTCATCTTGTAACAGAATCAGGTAAAATAAATTTTTTTTTTTCAAAATTACGCTAAAATATAAAAAAAATTAACTTCACAGATAATTTATATTTGGAAAGATTAAAATCATTTAAAGAAATAACAACAAGCAACAGTGATTTAAAAATGAAAGTGAACACTTGCCACAAATCATAATTTGTTTATTCCAATATCGTTGCAACCTGACGATGTGAAATTGTGAATTTTTGATATTTCAGTATTCCACTAATTGATCTATATTTTTGGAGCAGCAGTCATAGTTTTAAATAATAAAGATCTACAACATCAGGTTGCAAACATATAAATAATAAAGATCTACAACATCAGGTTGCAAACATATAAATAGTAAAAATTAGATTTTATGGAATATGAGTGTTCACTGTTTGTTCCTTTGGCGGAAGAAGAAAAAGAAATAAAGAATTTGTTCTGAATTAAAGTTTCTTTTATCGATTTGACTGATAACAGGCACATTTATGTCAATCACGGGATCTAGCAGAAAGGAATTGAGTCTTTGCCACTAACTCTGATTTTATAATCCTTATATCTTTGCAACCCACTATTGTAGACCTTAGATATTTCAAACTATAACTATGTTAGATCAAATAATCGAAGTTTGAAATTTTAAAGGTTTACACCAACAGGTTGCCGAGATATGAGGATTATAAAATTTAGATTTGTGGAAAAGACTCAATTCATTTCGAATTTTTAGGAGGTGGACCTGTACCCTTTCCACAACTCATTGTCAGGAAAAGCTGAAAACAATCATAAAAAAATTGAAACTACCAAAAAAATAACAATTTTTGTCACATTCAGATACTCTAGACTAATCCTCTTCATGGTAAATATTATAAAAAGGGATAATTACAAAAAGAAAATTTGAAAATACATTTATTCTAAATATTTGTTGGCTTCAGATTCTAGTTCAATCCTTACCATGGTCAATATTATGAGAAAGAAATAATTACAAAACATTTTAAATATTTTTTTTGAAACATTTGTTGGCTTCAGATCCCAGTCTAATCTTTACCCTGGTCAATATGGTAGACAGATAGATCTATCTAAAGTTCTTCCAACAAAGGTAAATATTCATCTTTCATTCATTCTTTTCTTGTATCTTACATTTATCCTTGTATCTTTCATTCATTCTTTTCTTGTATCTTTCATTTATCCTTGTATCTTTCATTCATTCTTTTCTTGTATCTTACATTTTATCCTTGTATCTTTCATTCATTCTTTTCTTGTATCTTAAATTTATTCTTGTATCTTCATTCTTCATTCTTCTTTTCTTGTATTATTTTCTTGTATCTTACAGTTTATCCTTGTATCTTTCATTCATTCTTTTCTTGTATCTTACATTTTATCATTGTATCTTTCATTCATTCTTTTCTTGTATCTTACATTTATCCTTGTATCTTTCATTTATTCTTTTCTTGTATCTTTCCATCGGTAAATCATTGTTCATATCATCCTTGTATCTTTTATTTATTCCTTTCTTGTATTCATTCATATCATCCTTGTATTTCTCATTCCATCTTCGTATCTTCCATTGATTCCATCCTTGAATCTTAATTCATTCCATCCTTGTATCTTTCATTGATTCTATCCATCCATCATTTTCCATTCTTGTATTTACCATTTTTTCATTTAATTACTTTTATCCTGGTATTTTATCTTCCATTCATCCTTCCATCCAATATATTTCCTTCGCTTGATTAATTATCTTTATCCTGGTATTTTCCACTCATCCATCATAATATTTTCCTTTCTTGTATTTTCCTTCCTTCCTTCTCTAAATCTTCCAATTATTCATTTAATTATTTTCCATGCTTGCATCTTCCATTCATCCTTCCATCCAATATATTTCCTTCGCTTGATTAATTATCTTTATCCTGGTATTTTCCACTCATCCATCATAATATTTTCCTTTCTTGTATTTTCCTTCCTTCCTTCTCTAAATCTTCCAATTATTCATTTAATTATTTTCCATGCTTGCATCTTCCATTCATCCTTCCATTTAATAATTCTCCATTTTAGGAACTCTTTTGGTTGAATTTAGAGGAGGGATATTTTGCTTGTCAACTAAATATTTCAGACCAGGGACGATTATTTGTATTCTCATTTTATAACTATTATAACTATTATAACTTTTATAAACAATAATATAATCATTATTTTGATGTTATTATTATTCACATTTTTATTAATATTTTCGCTATAATCATTGTTTTTATTATTTTTAATATTTGTATTACTTTTATGATATTAACAATAATTGTATCAGTATCTGAAAGTGTACCGGCTGTCAAGATTATGTGATGGGTCCAAGGATTGTTTTTATGCTTCAGATGAACTAGAGGATTACCTACAGTACGTTACCATTTATAAATACAGTATCTGCAGTACGTTACCATTTATAAATACAGTATCTACAGTACGTTACCATTTATAAATACAGTATCTGCAGTACGTTGCCATTTATAAATACAGTATCTGCAGTACGTTACCATTTATTAAATCAGTACTATCTGCAGAAACTTACCATCTATTAATACATATTTCATTTGGTTTACAAAGATCAATTTCTTAGGACTTAGATTACAAATGTTTTTACACTAATTCATAGTATTTTCTTGATTTTAAATATTCATTTTTCAAAAATCTATAGTTTCATAAATTGATAGTTTTGTGGATTTAAAGTCTTGCAACTTCATAGTATTATTAGCCCATAGTTTTTATCAGTTGAAATACTTAATTTTTATATTTTTATAAATCCATATTTTCTCAGTTGAAATTCTTAACTATTATATTTTTATAAATCCATATTTTCTCAGTTGAAATATTTCACTATTAAATTTTTATAAATCCACATTTTCTCAGTTTCTTGAATTCATGGTTTCAATAGTTGGTAGTTTCAAAAATGCAAAAATAAAAAATTTTATTTTCATCAGTTGATCATTTTGAGTATTTATAGGATTCATACAATTCATTGATTCCATTATTACCATCGATACGTGGATCTATAAATTGCCTATATACAGAGCGAGCATTTTATTTACGAGTGCATCCATTTGGAAACTTAAAAGTTAAATATATAATGTTAAAGAATGAACTGAAATTAAGTTTTTATTTGCTCGATTACACTTTATAATTTCTATCCGAAGAAAACTTGACAAAAGATCCAATAGACAGATAAAACTCCGAAAAAAACAATGATTAGTACAATAAAAATTATTTTTTCATTATTTTCCTAGATGTTCGACTGAATGTTCATCAACCTGTGGAAACGGTGTTTGTCTCAAGTCAAGTCCAATTCCAAAGGTAAAAAATTATAAGTGAGTTTATTTAGTCTGAGCTGGGAACTCTTGTTTTGCGAATATCGAGATCAATGCTCGATTTCGATCTGTTTTTAATCTTCAGATTAATTTAATCGGTTCAGGTTGTCATTTGGAGAAATAACTCAAATGAAGAGATTAATTTTTAATCATTAAAAGTATCCACAATGGATATCGACAATACATTACAACACAATAGTTTCCAGCTCAGAACTGACCAAATTACTTAGATTCACAAACATAAAGAAATTTTAAAAAAAGGTTGTTAAATAAAACATTAAAATAAATTAACAAGGATCCAAAAACAAAAGTATTAAGTTTTTGCCACAAACTCAAATTTTCTAGTCCCTATTTCTTTGCAACCCAATTGGTATAGGCTTTTGATATTTCAAACTATGATTTCTGAAATATCAAAGGTTGGGTTGCAAACAAGATAGGGACCAGAAAATTTGAGTTTGTGGCAAAGACTCAGTTCCTTTACCAACAAACAGACATGTAAACATTAATATTTAAATGCCAAAAAAACATTTTGAATAATTTTCAAAGCTTCCTTTAATTATTTACAAATATTTAGTGTCACTGTAATGATGGTTGGAGCGGAAACAGTTGTGAAGATCAGGCGAGTTCATTTTTTACTAGCTTGGGTACCCAGCATTGCTTGGAGTGTGTTTTACTAGCTTAGGAACCCAGCTTTGTCTGGAGAATGTTTTTACTATTTAGCTATGGAACCCAGCTTTGCTTGGATTATTTTTTTACTAGCTTGAGCTTTGCCTTGATTATTTTAAACCAGCTTAGGAACCCAGCTTTGTCTAGAGTATTTTAAACTAGCTTGGGAACCCAGCTTTGTCTAGAGTATTTTAAACTAGCTTGGAAACGCAGCTCTGTCTGGAATATGTTTTACTAGCTTTGTAACCCAGCTATGCCTGGAATATGTTTTACTAGACTGGGAACCTAACTTTGCCAGGAGTTTTCACTAAAAATCAACCCCCTTCACTTAGAATTTTTAAACCAAATGAATTAATTATTTAGGATGTGAATGAATAGTTGAATGTATAAATGAATGAAGGTCTAGGATGTGAATGAAAAATTGAATAAATTAATAAATAATATTGGATGTGACTAAATAAATAAATGAAAAAATGAATAATCTAGAATGTGAATTAATAGTTGAAAAAATAAACTCAAAATTAAAGATGTAAATGAATGAATGCATGTATAGGACGTGAATGAATGCCGGTACAGGCCGTGCTCTGTATTTGGTGTGTGCACAAACACCCCTGGTAGTTTCACATGTTCATGTAGACCAGGGTTTTCAGGGGATGGATTCAACTGTACACAGGTACATAAGCGATTATTTTGAATTTATTATAAAATGTACACGGATTGTACAGGAATAGAACAGGAGCCACCATAATGTATTCATTGTCTACAAGTACAGTGACGTCATATTTATTTGTTGTACACAAGTACCTGAGTCGCCATATTGAATTTTTTGTACACGGGTGCAGAAGCCGCAATATTGAATTTGTTTAACACAGGCGCAGAGTACAGGAGCCGCCATATTAAATTATTGGTGTCAGGTTATTACAGCACAATGTCAACCATGCTTTAATATCCATTTTTATAGATATAATTGATAATTTTAGTGTTACAAATAGAGCTAGATGTGTTCAAAATACTTTAAAATATGTCTGATAATGTGAATGTACTGGACTACGATCTATCACGTTGTACTGTACAGTGTACAGTGTACTCTATAACATGTTTAATAAAGGATGAACCGGATAATGTAAATGTACTGGACTCCGATCTTTCCCGCGGAACTGTACAGGGCGCTGTCTCTTGTTCAATTGATGGTGTCAGCTACAGGTACGATTACAGCCACCCTGGACTAACCAGAGTAAGAAGCATTCGGTTTATGTTATTTGAAATCAAATATGTTTAGGTCCATAATTCAACAATCTTTAAAGGTAGTGACCATCTATGTAAGGTAGTTGAACTGAGTATACAGTGTTGTGGAAAACTTCTTTCAGATTCATTTGAGACATATTAAACTTTTTAAAGATCTGTAAATCCTGAGTTTGTGCGGAAATTCGACGTTCAAAACTCCTACTTTTGGGGTGGACAACAGACAAGAACAGAATACAGAGTATGGAATATACAATGGTGAATATGGAACAAATCATACAGAATACAGAATACAGAATACAGGATTTAAAATACAGAATACAGAATACACAGAATAGAATATAGAATGAAGAATACAGAATAAAGGATAAGAATGCAGAATACAAAATTTGATCATCGGAGGCTTAAAAATTCGTGAAATGTTACGTATTTGATGTTGGACACTTAAAGATCAAACAGATTATTGTTGGCGGAGGGGGGGGGGTATTTAGTATTTTGGAATAATAACATTTTTACAATACATCACTCAGTCATATTTACATTTTAATGCAGTGGGACTCATAAAATTATGAATACAAAATTCAACATAAAGCAATCTTATATATGTTTGATTTCATAAAGCTATAGCTTATTACCAGTACCTTGAAAATAAATGGGTCTGCAGTGAACATCTGCAGTATTCTATAGTCTGTATCCTGTATTCTGTACTCTGTATTCTGTATCCTGTATTCTGTATTCTGTATTCTGTATTCTGTATTCTGTATTCTTAATTCTATATTGTGTATTCTGTATTCTGTATTCTGTATTCTGTATTCTATATTCCATACTCTGTATTCTGTATTCTGTATTCTGTTCTTCATTTTCATATTATTGAGCTATTCCTAACATTCCTCAATCATATACTAAGAAACAAAATTACTTAACGCGTCTTAAAAGTTTTTTAAAATTAAAATTGCAACAAGATCTTACCATTGTTGTTTGGTATGCAGGAGTAGGAAGAATTTCGCAAATCACTTTTATAGAGAAACCACAATGGAAAATAATCAACTTGTAAATAAAGAGAACAGGGATCTTCATTTTTCTTAGACAAAGATTTTAAGGGTGCCATTGTGTATCGGACATGTCCCTTTTTAGTTGAAGGGTCACTTGAAAATACGTTTACAGTCCCTTTAAAATATTCTTTTTATGTTTAGAAACGGGGAAAAGGTGATGGCTCAGAATAAATGTGAAGAATGCAGTTAAATAACGGGTTGGTGGGGCAACGCCAAATTAGTGTGAATTTCACGTTATATTGAAATCTTATATGGTTTTAATCATAACTCCTCTTGTTGAAGAGCTTTGGGAAAAAAGGTTTAAAGTTCTGTATGTAACCAAACAAATTAGATTTTCTTATACTTGTGCTTAAGATTAAAACTATAGGAGCTACGAAATCACAGAGTAGTACCTGTAATGTGGCATAAACTGGAAGTTCTCCTAATGTCAAGTGGAGCGTGGGAATAAATGATTTCTGTAATAAAGTATATGTACTTTTAATTTTTAATTGTCCTGGATAAAAAGTAGAAATTCATTAACATTATTGAAATGAAGGGAAAGTCCATAAAAAGATTAACAGTATCATTAAATGATTACAAAAAAGCTAAGTAGATTGGTTGACTGGAATGTCCAGTTAGTTTGATGTACTGAGCTGAATTTACTGATATATGACAACTATATTGAAACTTAGTCATCAATTAGAAATCCTCAACTTTAAAGTGTTGCAACCAATGAGTATGAAATAGAAGGGAGATATAACTGACGCGGTTCGCCTACCATATGATTATACATGCTTTGCAGACGGTACTCCATTTGAATAAGAAATATTTGTCTGATGTACAATTACCGCGTATACAATAACCTATTCTGAATATTTCTCTTTCAAATGGAGTACCCGTCTGCATAGCATGGCTAATCATATGGTAAGGCTGGCCGCGTCAGTTGTATCTCCCTTCTATTTCATACTCCTTGGACTTTGGTTTTACCTCGTCCTCAACAACACACCTATACTTTTTTGTAGCCCTAGGCAAACCTATTTTAAAGTGCAACGCGTTTGTTTCTACAGCTTAATCTTAAAAAGAGATATTGGGAAAATACTGTTCAATTTTTGTATGAGAGTGTTTGCAGCGAATTGAAGGCAGAGCTTGAGCAAGTTGTACAGGCTATGTACAGACTATGTACAGACATGTACAGACTATGTACAGACTATGTATAGACTATGTACAGACTATCTACGGACTATGTACAGACTATCTACAGACTATGTACAGACTATCTACAGACTATGCACAGGCTATCTAAAGACTATGTAAAGACTATGTACAGACTATGTACAGACTATGTACAGACTATCTACAGACTATGTAAGGCAAAACGGGGCGGTACAACAGTACATCAAAATAATCCCCCTCTTCAGTGAAATTAATATGAGTTATGTACAGGTGTACTGATGGTGATGTACAATGTGAAACTGTACAGTGCCCTCTACCCTCCTCACCAAGCTGTACTCCTACTGTACCTAAACCTGATCAGTGCTGTACACAGTACATTTGTCCAGGTCAGTTAATAAATTATATGTACAGTAGAAAAGAGTTTCAAAAGAATAAGTCATTTAAAAAGAAGAATTTGTTTTTCATAACAAATTCCAAAAAGAATCTGATTAAACTGCTCAAACTCTAATTTTCTAACTATTTTATCTTTGCAATAGTACTTTGATAAAATCTGCAAGATAAAAATGTCAAAGTTTAAAATATCAAAAGTTGGAAAGATAAATTTAATATTCTTTTTTACCCCAAAAATAAGTATATATTATCAATTGTATTTTTGTATAAAAGGACTTATATTATTGTACACTTTTATTCCGCAAAACTACCAGAAAATCGCATTTTATCCATATTCGGTCTCTGTCAGTTAGTTTTGATAAACAATACAAGTTTCCTCTGAAAACGGTATTTACAAATCATTACATAATAATTCCATTCTTCCCTGTACGTATGGACGTATTCAATTTCTGTAGAATAACTGAAAAGTGCAATTTTGTCTAAAATGTTCGAACAGTTTTAGCATTATTTACCATGAATTATGACAATGGAAAATTTTCATGGAAATTTTAATGTGAGAAGTCAACAATTCAAGTTCCTCAAATCATCACTTAGCTTCAAACCAGAATTTAAACGTAAAATACTAGATTCATTTGATTTACATCAAACATGCACAATCAAACAAAATATTAATTTTTTTGAAGTTTAAAGGGAGTGTTTGTGAAAAAAGAATATCGAACTGAATTCGATATCGATCTCTACTAAGTTTCCTTTTATCTTTTGCGTATAAGGAGAAAATTATGTAGAACGTCTTTTAAATTTTACAATATTTTTTTTGTTTTATATACCTACTTTCATTATTCGCGAACACTCCCTTTAAGCCCATACTTCCTCAAAATACAATGTTTCTAAAACAGAATTAAAATTGAAAAAATTGCTAATTCTTTGAGATTAAAGAAAATTATTTATATTTTTATTGATTTATTGTTTTTAAAAATCCAAATATTCCAGCAAGCGTATATGCCTGAATTCTCTGTAACAAGGCAGAGCTCATTTATAAAAATATGAACGCCTCATTCCCAGCACTGGTTAGTGGGTTGCCAGTTGCAAATTCCTTAAACATTTTCACAGCTTGACGCTCCAGTAGTTTATCCCATTATTAGTATTATATAAATACAGCAAGACACGAAATATCAAATACACAGATTTTTAAAATTATTGTTTGTGTTAAAGGAATTGTATAAGTTAAACCTTCTGCCCCCCCACCTGTATCCACCCCTGTGTGTGACCCTACTGCCGCCCCCCGCCCCATGTATCCACCCCTGTGTGTGACCCTCCATGCAAAAATGACAATTCCCGATTCACAAGATACCCTTAAAAGCGATGTCTGACCAAGTACATGAATTTTACAACAATGTTTGCAATTTTAAAGACTGATTTGCGCAATTGCGATTTGCATCTACCAAAGAGATTTGCGCATTTCCAGACAGTAAGAAAATATATAGGAATTATCAGAATCAAACAGTTGTAATGCAAGAAAGATGACAATATATCTTTCACATCATTGATCGGATTCAGGTGCAAAGGGTATTTTGATCTTTGCATTGAGGTAGATTTAAGATTACGCTAGCAGTTCCTTTAAGATTGGTGGTTTGGACATATTTAAGATTACGCTAGCAGTTCCTTTAAGATTGGNTAGGATAAGTCAGAAAATTTCAACAGCCTCAGACCAATACTTTTTGAGTTATGTAACCCCCCCCCAGCGGGAATAGGGTTAAGATTACGCTAGTAGTTCCTTTAAGATTGGTGGTTTGGACATATTTAAGATTACGCTAGTAGTTCCTTTAAGATTGGTGGTTTGGGCATATTTAAAATTATTATATTTATAGAATATTTATAGATACAAGATTCTTATTTAGATTCGATATCAATAGTCTCCGACGACCTCGACGCGAAGAATCCTAGATTTGACGAGGTCATTCAAAATGTTAGAGATCTGATTGGAACATTCGACAGAGGATCAACCACAACGATCTTAGTAGACAACACTGCGTCGACATCTCCTGTAGATGGTTCGACTGCCCCAACTGTCGATGATTTTACTTTCCTTGCAGGTAAACACTTTATATTTATAAACATTAAACTGTGTTTATGTATATCTATGTATGTATTTCTATGAAATAAATGTATGTAAGGGGGTGGGTAAATATTACATAATATATTTGTGAGTTCTTAATATTACATATATTTCACTATCCCGGATGAATTGAACTAGACACTATAATACGTAAAATACGTTTTGACTAAATTTACGCTGTCGGGTTCAATTCGATATTAGGAAATCCCTTTATTCATAAACATATAAATCGAATGAAATATAAAGAAAAAAATATATAAAGAAATTGAGTCATTGCCACAAAGGGTTGATCTTAGCAACCCAATTCGTATGCCTTTGATATTTTAAACTATGAATTATGTTAGATCAAATAATCAATGTTTGAAATATCAAAGGTTAACAACATCAAGTTGCAAAGGTATAGGGATTAGAAAATTTTAGTTTGTGGCAAAGAATCAATTTCGTTGATGACAATAATCAACGAAAGTAAGGAAAATAAAAGTTTTATAGAAATATAAATTTTAAGAATGCTGAAAATTTGTAAAAATTTACATAAAGTTGTTATAAATAATCTGTAGATTATATGCTACTTATCCACCAATAAAATCAGATTTTTAACAGTTCAATAAGTTTAAGCCCGATAATCCTGTTATTTATCAAATATCTTAAAGATGTTCAAAAAATATAAAGTGGATTATGTCATGAACTACTGAATTGTTAAAAAAGATGACAAATTGATAATCATTGATCAAATATTTTTTAATATGTGAGTTTGAGGCGATAACAAATTGTTTATTGATAATCGATGTTTTTTTGTAAATAAAAAGGATAATATTCACTTTTAATCCACAAATTGTTGCTTCAGATTCAGACCCTTTCCCTGATAAAGATTCCATGAAAATGAGTTTTGATTATGAAGGTAAATTTTTTATAAATATCTTAAAACGTAAATATATACAATTGCCGTTTAAAAAGAATCAAAAACTTTAATCCAAAATACCAGAGGCCGAATTTTAAGAATCTAAACCGTGTCACTGAACCGCCAAAAACGGGTTCCGATTGAGCGCCGGCTGAAATCTTGAAACACTGAATACAATTTCAAGTGGAACCAACCATGTGTACGTTTTAGCTGCTCTCTTAAATTTGAGACGTGGCTCAAATTCTTTAAATTTGGCCTCTGGAGTAGTTTTATTCATTTTTTCTTTTAGCAGATACTGGAGATGATATGACGGTTAAATTTTCTTTTAAAGAAGACAAGAATGCTACTGCAACAACCAATATCTTAACTGGTGAAACCACACCTAGGACTTTAGACGCGGCAAACAAAACAAGCTCTGAAGAGATTACAACTGTAAGATCTTTGGAGGCATTAGCTTCTACTTCAGAAGCTTCCACTGCAACTGGTTCGTCAGAAGCTTCGACCTCAACTTCGGTTACTTTTTCAGATTCAACGGCAACAAGTTCCTCAGAGGCTCCGACCTCAACTTTAGCTACTGCTTTAGACTCAACTAAAACAAGCTCTGCAAAGGCTTCAGTTTCATCTAGTACTTCCGAAGCTTCAACTTCATCCACTTCTTCAGAAGCTACCACAGCTTCATATTCAACTGCAGATAGTTCATCAGAGGCAACTAGTTCATTAGACCCATCTACAGAAATAGGATCAATTGAAGCTTCCACCTCAACCAATTCCCCAAATATTTCCGGAGCAGCCACAATTTCAGAAGATTCTCGTGAAGCAACTTCTTCATTTGATGCTACAACCACTGCAAGTTCTGCAGAAGAATTTACAGCCACGAATTCAATATTACCATTTTTTATTTCCGTTTACACAACTGATAGCTCAATAGAAGTTTCAACTGCGACCAGTTCACTAAACAGTTCAACTGCAACCAGTAAACTAGAAACTTCCACTGAAAGCAGTTCATTAGAAGCTTCAACTGCAACCAGTAAACTAGAAGCTTCAACTGCAACCAGTAAACTAGAAGCTTCCACTGACAGCAGTTCATTAGAAGCTTCAACCGCAACCAGTAAACTAGAAGCTTCCACTGAAAGTAGTTCATTTGAAGCTTCAACTGCAACCAGTAAACTAGAAGCTTCCACTGAAACCAAATTTATTCCATTGGAAGCTCCCTCCAAAACTGCTCCAACAGACCAAGATGATAGAATTATTTTCCCTCCGAACGTAGGTAGGAGTTTGAATCCTTTTTTAGATGGAGGGGGGGGGGTTGAAGTTGGAATATTGTAGGTGTGAAGAGGGGGAGGGGAGAGAGGAGAACAGTAAGGGGCGGGGCGTAACATCGTGTTATAGTTCGTTGACTTTCAAGAATTTATTACAAGTTTTCCAAATTTTTACGGATTTCTTCATTTTGAATATTTGAATATGAATTAAAGTACATTTTGATGATACAGATAATTTGGGATTGGTGGATTCAGAGAATCAGGGGATTCCGAAAAATTAGGAGATCTTTCTGAGTTTCTTGGGTGTTTTATTTTTAGTTTATTTCATTTTTTCAAAACTTTCCATCTGCCGAATTTAGCACGAAAGTTGTAAAAGCTATTTCACTTTTTAAAATTATTTTGATCATCTAATAGTTGACTTTTAATATCATTTTTTTCTAGAAAATATTCCCATTTTGGTCCTGTCAACAACATTACCAACAGCAACCATTTCTACCTCATCAACATCATCATCAACATCATCTGTACCATCAAGATCATCTGTACCATCAACATCATCTGTACCATCAACATCATCTTTACCATCAACATCATCTGTATCATCAACATCTTCTGTACCATCAACATCATCTGTACCATCATCATCAACAGCTTTACCAAAAACATCATCTTCCGAAACAAAAATTACGATTAATGATCAGGCAATTAATATTCTTTCTCAAAATTAATTAAATTTACAAAAGCTTTACAGGGAAATTAATAAATTTTACTTTACCAAGGGTTCCCTAGACCAAACCCAGGCAAAATTGGTCGAGTGAACCCGCGGTTAAGTAAAAAAATTAAAAAAAGTAGTTGTACGCGATTTTATCATCTTTTGAGATGCAAAATGCGCGAATTTTTCATGAAAACTTCGCAAAGAGGGTGCAGTTATTTGACTTAATTTTCCCTAGGGACGTTTAGTAACTGAGTGTCCTTCTTTTAAGGGAATCATAAGTTTGAAATGCGGGTGAAAAGGCGGTAAATTTATTTAATTTCATCATATTGAAAACAAGTCCAAATGCAAGGAGCACTGTGAAATTTTACAAGATAACAACATTTTTCTCCAGGATGTGATAACCATGGATATGTCTGAAAATGAAATCCTGGATGATAAAATAAAACAGAATAAATCTGTTGAACCAGTAAAAGATAATAATTTGAGGAAAGTGGAAATTTATGTTTTTTAAAATTAAATTACTTTCGCATCAAACCAACTAAAAAAAGGATTGTGATCATGATTTAGTAGTTTCTACTGAGCAAACAAAACAATTATAAAATTATTGTTAACATTTTTAAATAGCTTGCAGACATCTTTAACGATATTTTCGTTTGAACTTCAAGGCACATTCCATGCCTGATTCAAAACTGAACCCTTTTCATGTTTATTTGAGCATCATTTGAGAACCTGTCATCCATCGTGAAAAGTATTGAATTAAGTAAATTGCATTCTTGTGGCTGTAAATATTCATAATTTCATAATTTTTGCTTCGAAAAAGACTGAAAGGATTCCGTTGTGAATCAGGCATGCCCCCTATGAATTATGTTAGATCAAATNACTGGTCCCAGCTCGGACAAAAAATCCGCGAATTCTGCCCAAAATCAAGCAAATTCTTCAACAGAAATTCTAGAAACTATCGCTGGGCTTCCAAGCCTTAACTGAATCCTGATGAAGAAGAAGAACTGAATCCTGATGAAGAAGAAGAACTGAATCCTGATGAAGAAGAAGAACTTGGTAAGATAAAGCTCTCAATGTTATAATTCATGGTGAATAATTTTCGCAATCAAAAACTTAAAGATTGCGAAAACTGATTCAACGAGTGGGTTGAATATTTCAGAGAAAATTAAATTGCCAGACGTAACTGGGTTTCCAAGTTATACTGATAAATAAAGAATGCATATGGGATAAGAGAAAAAACTAGTTTAAAGAAAAATCGGTTTTATATATATTAAAAGAGAAAGGAATCAAATTGTGAACTTTTGTAATAACGTATAATATATGTATTTTCAATGAATATATTGAATATTAGGCATTTGTGGGAGTGGTTAAAGCTTTTTTAGCTTAAACATGACAATTTTCTTAATTTGTTTTTGTCACTTTTTTAATTGGGGAAAACTATTGATAAAAAAATCAATTTCAGCTAGAAAAAAAACATTGATGTCATATTCACTCTGGATCCGACCAAGTTTACAGGGTACCGTAGTGGATTGGACATGTCACTCCTTCAATGAAGGGTTACTTCTCTTTGTGTTTTGTACTTTTATGAACAATTTAAAAATGTAAAAACAAATAAAATAAATTGTTCTGATTAGGATACACAAATTATAAACTATTCCATATTGCTAATTTTCAATCTTTTGAAAGTAAAAAGTGTCTTTTTTTAATAAAAGAGTTTCCGTTATTCGAGAAGAGACGGGAAGAGACGGTACAATGGTTTAACGATTTAAAAGATATATTTGAGAAGAGACGGGAAGAGACTGTACAATGGTTTAAAGATTTAAAAGATATATTTGAGAGCTAAAAGCCGGAAACTAAAAACCTAACAAAAAGTTGACTTATGAAATAAGGGAATTAAAAGATTATTAAGTTGAAAAAAATTAAAATATCAATATCAAATTGAGGTTATATTAGATGATATAAGATAGCAATAATGAAACATAAATGGTAGTTTTTGTAAAAAGTCTAAATAAAAACTATGGATTAGAATACAATACCCATTTCATGAGAAAATTATGAAAAAGGCGTGCAATGACAAGCCTTTGAAAATATGTGAAAAAGTAAGGAATGCTTATAAGGAACGATACAGACCATGGCGTGCTCAGGGGTGGGTCTTTGGGAGCTTGGCCCACCCCTTAGATAAACAAAATCTATGGTTTCCCGGAGGTTTTACTACCTGAACAAAAAAATTCAATGAATCCCTGAACAAATTCCTAAATACGCCCCTGATACAAATTGGTATCATAGAAAAGGGTAAAAGGAAGAAAAATAAAGAATTAGGGACGATAAAGAAATGAAGTGGGATAAAAGACAGAGGAAGTAAAATATAGAAATAAAAATCAAAGTAAAAAAGATTGAAGAGGACGGAGTAGGGTAAATATGAATATTTTATTCATAACAAAATTTAACTTTTAAACCCCTTTTTTATTCCAGTGCAGCGATCTCTCTCCTTCAACCCCGGTCCCCGCATCCCCCCCCTTTATCGCTATCTTCTTTTCCATCTTGTATTCTCCGAATTACTCCTGATGGTTTATTGAACTGTTTAGGTGATGTATTACCCGGCCCTGGTCTGCCTATCCGGCCTGTAGCCCCAGGCTCGTCTGGAACTGGTCCCAGCTCGGACAAAAAATCCGCGAATTCTGCCCAAAATCAAGCAAATTCTTCAACAGAAATTCTAGAAACTATCGCTGGGCTTCCAAGCCTTTCAACAAGCACAGATACTGTCTCCGCAACAGATAGTTCAGACGTATCTGACACTAAAAACGGGTTTGAAAACGGTCCTGGGATTTCTCCTGACTCATCTCAACAAACTTTTGGGTCAGAAACTACTTCTGTGCCGCCCACTACAAGTTTCTCCGGGTTGGGCCGACTGGATCCAATTGAAAGGGAAGAACAGACAAACACTACCGAGAGACAGACAAACATTACGGTATACATAATGAAGATTATAAAGGTCCCTCAGGCATAAATGAAGCCAGACAGACTAACCGAAGAATTTCCAATTTGTTTGATAATAAAAATCTTATTATGAAACAATTTTTTTTTAATTTAAAATTTTTTTCAGGTCTCTGATTCTACAGTTCGACCTTCCCTCATTGAAATGGATATCAAAGTAAAAATTCCTGGTTTATTGCCAAATATTGAAGATGAAACAACAGATAACGACGTTGAAATCTCTGAGAACAAATCTAGACCGGAAGAGGCAACAGCAACGGATCAAATAAAAACAACAACAGTAACATCAAATCAGGTAGAGTCTTTTGAGATCAAATTGCTGAATGAGATTTTTTATAAACTTATATTTTTAGAATTCTGAATCTGATACGACAGTTGCTCCTTCTCTTGTTGATACGGACATAAAAGTAAAAATTCCTGGTTCATTGCCAAATACTGAAGATGATACAAGAACGGATGAGACAGCAACGACAATTCAGGTAGGGTACAGATCATTTTAAATTGCTAAATGAGATTTTTAAAAAAAAATTTATTTTTAGAAATCTGATTCTGATGCAACAGTTAGGCCTTCCCTTGTTGAAATGGATTTAAACGTGAAAATTCCCGGTCTCTTGTCTAATATCGAAGATAGTATATTTGAAGATTCTCAAATATTCTCAACAACTGAAAATACGGAATCAATAACTACATCAACTGTTCCCACCACAATAACAACAACAACAACTTCAACTGTTCCCACCACAATAACAACAACAACAACAACAACAACAACAACAACAACAACAGCAACAGCAACGACCACACAGAAGATTGATAACAGAAACCATATACCAAGAATAGAGGAACAATTCCAAGGTTAGCGAGACATTATCTGTGCATGGCTAAGTATTGATCAGTAACAATCTTAAATGCTTCGCCAGTAACTATTGGTCGTTTGATTGGCATGTTTCATTCAGATGTTGATCGTTTATAATATTTCAGATTGCCCGGGGCACGAGCGGTCTCCAAAATTTGGTTCGTTTGCCGGTAACCCTGCTAGAAATGTTGGTAAGATTTAATAATTTACTAGTTTTCTATATATAGATAGATAGAAGAAAAGTTATCATCCAAAGAGTATAATAAGTTTAAATGTCTTGTTATCTTTAAACCATGATGAAGGTCGGGGGCGGCCCATGAATTAGACAAAACATGGTTTAAAATTATTTTTTCTCGCTTAATTCGATTCCTATAATATGCTCAGGATATTGGCCAATGGCTATTGTATGTTTGTCATAATTACATTTTCCTTCATTACTTTTGCCATAATTAACATTTGAAATATGTTACACTTGCAATATTTGTCTATCCTAGCTGCGGCTTTCGATTACATTGTATAGACATTGGCGCCTAAGAAGACATAACCTAACTTTGAATTATGCAAATTGCTGGAATTAATAGTGTGAAGTATGGTATTTATGTCAAATTAATATATTAGTCCTTAACTAAAGCAGGTGTAGCTATGGCAAATTTAATCATGACATGCGTTTTATGGCGGAAAAAAACTAAATCGTCAAAAGCCATGTTTTCTGAAAATAAACGTATTCACTCGAGTGTTGTGACTAATGAAAAGAATTGTAAAGGAACTGAGTTTTTGCCACAAACTTTCTAATCCCTATATCTGTTCAACCTGATAGCGTAAACCTTTAAAATTTCAAACTTACACTGTTTGAAATACCAGAGTTCTTCGTCATAGAGTTGCAAAGATATAAGGAATACAAAATCAGAGTTTGTGGCAAAAACTCAGTTCCTTTGGTAAAAAGGGACCCCCCCCCCAATGATGTGGGACACCCTATATAGTGTATATAGTCTAGATTGAAGAGCTTCATTTCTTATCTTATAATATCCAACTCATTCCTGCATACGGTTATAGATATCAAAACATGCCTCAACTCATGACCAATCCCTCTCAAGATATTGGAATACAATAGATCAGATAGATATTATTGTTTTTTGAGTTAATACAGTCTCACTCACTGCACTAACGATAAAACTCAAGACTCGAATTGGCTATCGAAAGGAATTGAGTATTTGCCACAACCTCAAATTTTCTAATCCCTATATGTTATCAACCTGTTGGTCTATACCTTTGATATTTCAAACTTAGATTATTTGAGTCAAGAGAATTCATAGTTTGAAATTTCTAAGGTCTACGACATAGGGTTGCAAAGAAGTAGATATTGGAAAATCAGAGTTTGTGGCAAAGACTCAATTCCTTTCGTCTGTTAATAGCATTTGATATCAAAACCCGCGCAACTGTAAGAAAAAGGTGGAATATATGCTTTATAGTCGACTCCATGAATCTCATCCTTTGTGGGTAACATTGTACAATTGTACATAACAATGCAAGTGAATAAAATAATATTACAGAAATTAAATTGCGAGGTGTGTGTTCTATCAAGAATGCGAATTATATTGTAATTTCTTTATTTATGGAAGAATTTCCTTGATTAATAGCTTGCTGGAAAGGTAATGTTGGTATTGTTGTTACCGTTCGATTGCGTTATAAAAAATCTAATGAGTAAAAAATTCAGTCTACCACCGGCAATTGAGTAGAACCCCTTCCAACAAGTACAAGAGCCAAGCCAGCTTTTTAAAAAAATGTTTATAGGTCGGCCATTTCTGAAGATATATGAATATATAAGCACATTATAGAAACATACAGAAAACAGAAAGAATATTTAAAAAAATATATCTTTCAGCAAAATTTGCTAATTAATTGGCGAATTTTCAAACAATGTAATTTTTCTTAATTTTGTCTTTTAGAACAGTATTTGGGATTTTCAAAATGATATAGAACCTCCTTCTAAATGAAAAACTGAGGATTTAGCGAACATTTTAACACTAAAATAAAAAAAAATGGCCAACAAATCAGGTTTTTCTGGCGGCTACAGAAATGATGGTAAAAAAAAACTTTTGGATGTTTCTTATAGTTTCATATATATATCTATTCAAAAGAAAAAGAGCACCTCTGAACAATTTTTACAGGGCCGCGCTAGCTAGCCTGGCTCTTGAACTCATTGGACGGGGTACCCTGATTTGAATCTTCTCAATTGCCGATGAATTTTTCACTCAGCAGATTTTTTTTATAACGCAATCGAACAATACCTTTCCAACAAGCTATTAATCACGGAAATTCTTCCATAAATAAAGAAATTACAATATAATTCGGATTCTTGATCGATCACACATCATACGTTTATTTTTTTTAAGAAGAAAGGTCAACAATTTTGTAACGTGGATAATTTATCTTTAAAAATGCTATTGGTGCATTTTCATCATATTATTTTTTGTGGGACACACTCTAATTGAAAAATTGAATAATCGATCAAAACCAATCCCTCCCCCTTCCAATACCACTCATGGCATCATTATTTATGCAAATACATTGATTCGATCCAAATAATTGATAAATTTAAATTTACTTTAATAATCTGAAATTCAAGTTTTTTCAAGTTTGACTTGATTTAAATTATCTATTTCACGGAAAAATATCTATCATACATTAATTTTAGTAAAGAATAAAACAAAGAGTGGATATTTTGATTTAATTAAAGTTAGTGTTCAAATTTTCATAACCTTTTTTAACGTTTGTTTAAAATCTAAAATAATCTATAGTTATCTTAAAGACCAATTTTATTCATTAAAAATGAAAACTATTAATTGACTTAAATCAAATATTGGTGAAAAAATTAAACAAAGAGGGGAGTTTATCCTTTTTCATTTTAATAAATAAAACAAAGAACAATGGGTTTATTCTTTTAAATTATACAGTGTGAGAAAATTTGAAATTTCAGAAGAAAATTAGGTTTAGATAAATAATTAGCAATTTAACCAATTTACATTATTTATTTTAGATTTTTCTATTATTAGGTTTAGATAAATAATTAGCAATTTTAACCAATTTACATTATTTATTTTAGATTAGGTTTAGATAAATAATTAGCAACTTTAACCAATCTACATTATTTATTTTAGATTTTTCTATTATTTTTTCTTTTTGATCAACTAAAGATGTACTAAAGGGACTCTAAATAAATTAAAATTCTTAATCGTTTTTACAAATATGACATGATCAGGTTGAAAACACAGTTTACACGAATCTTACATCCAGACAGCTATGACATTTTCTATGACGGGTCGACTTTGAAGTATCACACGCCTCGGCCTTTTTATCTCACTACCTCACTTATATTTTTTACAGCCTTCTACAGTGATAACCAGAAAAAAATGGAATAGAAAGACGACATTATAGCAATACTTCAGCGTTTTGATGTTGTTTCAAAACAAATATTTTTATTAGTAACTTAGCAAAGCACAATTTAAGTGGAAAGGGTATATTTGCACTGTAAAATTGCTATGTCTAATGTTCATTGAACTTGTTTAAGTCCTAACTTGAGTTTAAAAGCCGTCTTCCTATTTCAGAGTTTTCTGGTTATCATTGTACATTTTGATCTGAAAGCACTTATAAATTTGCAAAATTAGCATAGATTTTTTTGCATAAGAGCTTGTAACTTATTCGAAAAAATCTCAAATAACAAAAGTTCATGCAAATTAAAAGAATTGTGTAGTTTGTCAAACAGCTTTTTCTTGTAATTTGTCTTTTAGTCACAAAAATTTGGAGAATTTCCAATAAAATAAAAATAATGCTGTCAACCCTGTATTTACATACATCCTGTATAGTGTGCATATAATCTTTATGTTGCTTCCTTTCTATCATTTTTAGAGCATTTGCATGAATTATTAACAAAATTTACTACATGAGTAATGTGTAATGGGTATCCGCTTTGTACTCAGGCAACAGGCCTGCATTTTACACATGAAACGCAAACTTAAATATTCCTAAATCATGTTTTTAAAATGTTGGTTTAAACCATCTTTACACTCAGTGTATAGTTAATATACGAGAGAAATCTGCATAACAAGGCAGTGTTGCATGCTTCAGTTGTGTTGCCTGAAAACTGCATAATAATGAAACTATTGTATAAATGTCGGACATTTTACGCACGAAAAATAATACAAAGAAAATACCCCTCGCCAGTAAAACCAGCGCAGGAAAATAACCTAAAAGTAATTTATGGCAAGGGAGGGCAAGGTGGGTGGGGGGGGAAATAAAGAACATGGTCTATGCCAAAACATCTGATGAATTAAATGGAAACAAACGAACTGTGAGGGAGAGACAATGAATTTGAAAAGAAAGGAGAAAGGATGGGATAAGAATAGAGGGGTCGCAGGAAGGACGGAGAAAGGAATGAGGAATGACGGAGAAAGGACTAAAGAAGAGTGGAGAAAAGACAGAGGAAGGACAGAGGAAGGACAGAGGAAGGACAGAGGAAGGACTGAGGAAGGACTAAAGAATGACGGAGGAAGGACGGAAGAAGTTCAAAGGAAGGATGGAGGAACGATTAATAAAGAATAAAGAATAAAGAATAAAGAAAGTTGGAGGGAAGACGGGAATAAAAAAATGATGAAAAAAGTATACAAGTATGCTATAGAAAGTATACAGGAAGGATATGGAAAGGATATAGGATGGATATAGAAAGTATAGAGGAAGGATATGGAAAGGATATAGGAAGGATATAGAAAGGATACAAGTATGATATAGAAAGGATACAGGAAGGATATAGAAAGGATACAGGAAGGATATAGAAAGGATACAGGAAGGATATAGAAAGGATACAGGAAGGATAAAGAAAGGATACAGGATGGATATAGAAAGTATACAGGAAGGATATAGAAAGTATACAGGAAGGATATAGAAAGGTTGTACACAAAGAGAACATGTTCACAACTAATTTAGAAGATGGGCGCGAAGCGCCCTCTAAGGCTAGAAAGAAGGGCGCGAAGCGCCTTGAATTTCTAGTTGAGAGTAAATTTTCCGAAAATTCCACCCAATCAGAGCACCAAAAATATTGGGTTAAAATCTATTTGATAAATCAATACTCGGCTCTTATTCATCAGGATAGTTCAAAATTAAATCAGGATAGTTCAAAATTAAATCAGTTGAAGTTTAACCAGCAGTAAAATATACATTCTCACAATTCATTAAATCCGGTTCCAGGATCAACATCATCCTCATCCTCAACTCCTATTTGGCTGAAACCTTCAATGCTATAGTTACAGTTGTGGTAAATATGAATAATTATTCCAGCTTTTTTTCATTTAAACAATGGATATTTTCTTTGAATAATTTTTGATCCAAAATCATGAGAACAGATTTCTAACCCCATCTAAAAAAATAAACATGTTCTAGTATAGTTAACAATCATATTACAAACTAAACTTTTTAAATTTTAATCCTATACTTTTTTATTAAATATTTACTTAAACCGCCTTTTAACCAATATTTCAGACTCCCAACAGAGAGGTGTTAGGTTACTTTACGTTTCTTGAAAATAATCAGGAATAATTTAAGTTTTCTTGGAGCAAAGAAATTGAGTCTTTGCCACAAACTCTGATTTTCTAATCCCAATATCTTTGCAACCCAATGTCGTAGACTTTAGATAGTTCAAACTATGCATTCTGTTACATCAAATAATTTAACTTTGAAATATCAAAGGATAACATAAAAAGGTTGCAAAGATAGAGTGATTATAAAATTTAACTTTGTGGCAAAGACTCAATTCTATTGCGTATTTTTATCTAAAAAGACGATAGATTTGTGTCAAACATACTTTTTCGAAACTTTTAAAATTTTGCTTCACCATGGGTTCCCAAGACCAATTTTGCCTAAAAAATATCCATCTTGGGAACCCTTGGTAAAGTAGAGAAAGGACGGAGGAAGGACTGAGGAAGGACTGAGGAATGACGGAGGAAGGACAGAGGAAGGACAGAAGAAGTTCGGATGAAGGACGGAGGATTGACGGTAGAAGGATTGAGAAGGACGGCATAAGGTAGAAGAAAGTAAAGAAAAAAGATGTAGAAGGGACGGACGAAGGACGGAGGAAGAACGGGGAAAGGACGGAGGAAGGACAGGAAAAGGACGGAGAAAGAACGGATGATCGACGGACCAAATTAAGGGTGGAGGAATGACAGAGAAGGATTAAGTTAGAACGAAGGAAGGAAGGAAGGATGGAGGAATGATTAATAAAGAATAAAGAAAAAAGAAAGTTGGAGGGAAGATGGGAATAAAAAAATGATGAAAAAAGGATACAAGTATGATATAGAAAGGATACAAGTAAGATATGGAAAGGATACAGGAAGGATATAGAAAGTATACAAGTATGATATAGAAAGGATACAGGAAGGATATGGAAAGGATACAGGATGGACATAGAAAGTATACAGGAAGGATATGGAAAGGATATAGGATGGATATAGAAAGTATTCAGGAAGGATATAGAAAGGATATAGGATAGATATAGAAAGTATACAGGAAGTATATGGAAAGGATATAGGATGGATATAGAAAGTATACAGGAAGTATATGGAAAGGATATAGGATGGATATAGAAAGTGTACAGGAAGGATATAGAAAGGATATAGGATGAAGGAATGTTTTAACGTGGTATATGATATTTTATTTAAAAAATGACCAAAGTATAAATCTGTAAAGCTAAAACCGGAAGGAAACCAGAAGGAAAGCTTATCAAGGTTATTATAGTTCAAAACTATGGTTCAATGGCTGATAACAGGAGGGGTAGGATGGGGTCTATCCTAGGGGATGAGGACCAGAGGGAGTAAGGGGAGGGGAGTACAGTTAGAAATACAAGGTATGCAACTACTGCACGCCTTTTAATTGATTTATTGAGAGCCCCCCACCCCTTCATTCCACCCCTATAGAAGTTGAAATTTAAAAATACACCGTAATTGTAGCTTTAACATTTAATTATTGTGCAGTGTAAAATTAAACTTCATATTAGTGGTTGGTTTATAATATTTCCAATTTCTTAATTTATTTGTTTATAACAGTGTTTTCTTTTTGTAAACTGTTTTATTAAATAACAATAAGAAATTTTGCAGATTCAGATTCATTTATTTTTGTCTAGAAATTTTTCAATTTTTGGAACAAAAGAAGCTTTGTAGGGGACATTATTTTCTTCTAACAGACAATAAAACATCCAGGGGCCATGAATTATTGTTTAATCGAAAATTTACCTTAAAAATATCAAACCCACTCTGTGAAAGTATTTTTATATTTGATTTGCGATCACAAACCCAGAGTCCCACATAGCCATTTAAGATAAAGTTTTAAAACATTTGACAGTTGTTTTATTTTAAAAGCTTAATGTCCAAAATTAAAACATGTAAATTTGTTTTCAGCTGATTGCTCTTGGGATTTCTTCTCTTGCACCAAGAGCTTGGGTACCTGGCCTGCAAATAAGGCCTGCTGCACACACAGGTTCAATCTCTGCTACGCTCAGGTCAAGCCAAGCATGTCAACTTCCGGTGTGCTAAACGGTGCAGAGAGCAACAGTGTTGGTGACTTTAACGATCCAGAGAACAACATCGTAGATATAAACTCAGGAAAGGGAAGGAATGGGGAGGTTGGAAATAGTGCAGAACGAACAGCTCAGCTACCTATCCCTGGAATAAATAGACCAAACGCAGGACAAGCGGAACTGAAAAATTCCATGAGTAAGCTTCTTTTCTAGTTAGTGTAAATAATCATGTGATGATCTATTGTTATTCGATTTTTAGGAATCCACATTGTATAGATTCAATCACTGTTTAGTTGAGTGTATTTGGGACTTTATGGGTTGCAGAGGAGGTTCGAAATCTGAATCTGAATGCAGAAATTCCTTCTCCTTCTGTGCTGAGAAAACATTTAGGTTTGTTTTCTTAAAATTGTTATAATCAATAAACCTCAAAATGTAAAAATCCAAAACGGAGGCTCAAAAGCATCATTCGAAGGAAGTTCAAAAACAACTTCCACTAAAGGGGGTTCATTTAACCCTTTCGGATTTGGAGGTTCATCTAGAAAGGATGATGCAATTTTTGATGATGGAAATACTCCCAGCTTAGCAGAGGGTGCAGGAAAAGTTCCTGAAGGTAACATTTTTTTTAAATGCAAAATTTCGAAAAAAAAATAAAAAACTTTTAGATTTTTTAGATCAATTAAAAAACGATCCCCTGTTTTATTCAGTGAAAAAAATTATAAAAACTTTGTGGAATTTATGGAGGGCTGTTCATATCAATTCTCTTTTTTATAAATACATATATGTACAAAGAAATAAAAGCTTGAGAACCCAGCGTTGCCCAAGTTACTAATAATTACTCCCGCTTGCATTTATCCGCGCGCGCATGGTCTTAAATTACGATTCTAGCTATTTTTCCCTTTAAAATGGAAACAACTTAGAATCTCAAAACCGAGCTTAGAATATTCCCTTAAACTCCCGAGTTACCAAATCAAAATTTGAGGCAAATCGGTCCAGTAATCATGAGGGATATAGAAAGTATACAAGAAGGATATAGAAAGGATACAGAAAGGATATAGAAAGTATACAGGAAGGATATAGAAAGGATAAAGGAAGGATATAGAAAGGATATAGGATAAAGGAATGTATGATATTTTATTAAAAAAATGACCAAAGTATAAATCTGTAAAGCTAAAACCGGAAGGAAACCAGAAGGAAAGCTTATCAAGGTTATTATATAGTTCAAAACTATGGTTCAATGGCTGATAACAGGAGGGGTAGGATGGGGTCTATGCTAGGGGATGAGGACCAGAGGGAGTAAGGGGAGGGGAATCCAATGTAAAGAGTCTACTGAAGAGTGTAAAGAAAAACATCAACAATGCATTGATGGAGAGGAATGTAAGTACTTATACTAGACTATTAGGGTTATTCGAGCCCATCTTTCAGTTCAACTTTGAATTGTTGCTCAATCTTTTTGCAATTTATCTTCGTTAAAAAAGTTTTGCAAAGGATTTTCAAATTTCTATATCTTTGCAACCTGATGGTGTATTCCTTTGCTATTTCAAACTTAGATTGTTTGAACCAGCTCAATGCATACTTTGAAATATCTAAGATTTACGACATTTGGTAGCAAAGATATAGGGATTAGAAAGACAGTTTGTGGCAAAGACTCAATTCCTTTACAATTTTTTTTTGAAAATTTTCAAAACTTTTTGGGGTGAATTTTAAAATTTTCGGAAGGAATGTAAGAACTTATCCTTTTAAATAGATTCAGACTGATCAAGGAATGTTTTCAAGACAAAGTGTCGCAACACTTTGGACTTTAATTTTTAATAAATTCTACATAATTGTAGCCCAAGGCATGTAAGTTTCATAACTCTTGAGTACTTTTCTCATCGAGTTTTTGGGCTAGAGCCCTATTGGAAATGTCAAACTTTGACCAAACAAAATTTGTTGTAGCACCGCAGCCAAAATCCAATTAGTAGCACAATTCTTCAAAATTTGAGAAAAACAATTTCATTTAACAAAATTTGACAGAATAATGAGACTAGGTTGAATGTGGCTCCGGGGCTCCAACAAATTTTGTTAGATCAAAAATTGAAATTTCTTAGAGTGTGAATCACTGAACTGCGGTTGTATTACATTCTTCATTAACTTTTACATTTGCATGCATAGGCTGATAAACCATTTCATTTCATGGGATAGTCAAACAAATTCATAATTGTAAACATAAAGGAATTGAGTCTTTGCCACAAACTCTGATTTTCCAATATCCTAGCAGGCAATGTCGTAGACTTTAGATAATATTTGAAACTATGAATTCTGTTAGATCCAATCAAATGCTTACACCATCAGGTTGCAAAGATATAAAGGAATCGGAGAATTCAAGTTTGTGACTAAGACTTAATTCCTTTAGTTTGCTCAAGATAATGAATTGTTTTTTCATCATTCGTATTTTTCTTCTATTTTTTTATATTTTTAAACTTTAAAAACTGTTTTTTAAGCGTAATTTTAAGTGACCCTCCGGGCGCGCAAAGATGGCAATGCCCGATTTACAACGGTACCCTTAAAAGCTTTGTCTGATCAAGTATGAATTATATATCAATTTTTTTGTTTCTTTATTTTCAATTGCGGTTTCTCTGCGAAAGTAACTTAGGCATCTCTTGTTTAAAATGAAGGAATGGAGAAGCTCACAGAAATAAACACTTTTCCGAGTCAGAAATACAACGGTACATTTCCAATCAGATTAAGGTTTCAAGAGAACTGTCGTTATAGCATTGCCATCTTTGCATAAAAATTACACATTTTTTATCCTCTTAGGAATAAACCCTTTCTCTGAGTTTTATTATTATTAAACGTTGCTTCAAGTTTTGATACTATATACGAATATTTTTATTTTTTTTTTAAATCTCCATTCATTTTTTTCCTATTTAGACGCGAACAAGATCTGTTCTGGTGTGAGCCGAGATCCACAAAGATATTTAGTTCCTCACCCTACAGACTGCTCAAAGTAAGTTATTTGGGAATTTTGGAACTTATTCTTTTAGATTTCCTTGGGTTTAATACAAAAATATGATATTGGGGGAAAACAGGTCAAATTCAATATTCCCTCAATCCTGGGAGATTTAAAGGTCTGTTTTTTTTTAATTTAAAAAGTTTTCACTGAGTATATACAGTGTATCCCCCATAACACTGAGAGACGATCAACTTGAAGATCGTCTTAGATGTGATCAGCTTTTTTATGCTATCAATTTCACATAATTTTGTTCAGATTTAGAGGACTTAGATAATTTAGGTTTTATTTAATAAATCTAAATATCTAAATCTTATCTTGAATTACTGGGTTTCCAACGCAAGTGGATTTTACTTGCGCGCAATTTAGGGCCCTGCAATTTCCTTGCAATTCTGCGCAAAACGAGAACAGTAGCGCGCTATTCCATGCAACGCAATTCCGATTGGAAACCCTAATTGCATGTTACATATTGTTTATTTCTAGATTCTACTCCTGTCAACGTCGTGGATGGGGTAGTTGGATTGCCCATCCTATGAACTGTCCAACATCTACAGGATTTGATACAAATCTAATGATTTGTAATTATATCAATAATTTACCAAGGTGAGTTTTATAGATATATTATAATCATTGGTTTTAACGGGAAACATTTCGAAAAATGATCCGACGCAGAATTTCTTCTGGGGTAGTTACTCTCTTTAGCCTTCCTAGCTATATACATCCTTGAAATCATCTCTGGATTGTTCAGCAGATCGACCCATCCAGCATCCCAGAACAAAACCTTTTAACTTTTAACTCTTAATTTTAGTTACCTAGAATGGCCATCCTATAGTCTCTGTTCGTCTGCAGTATGTCCGATCAAACTCAAATTTTGATTGGGGAATTCGGTAGAACTCTAATTTGAGGGGGTTGACTTTAATAGAGAAAACTGAATTTTTAGGCACAGCTGAGTTCCAAAGCCATAGTATTTTAAAGTTTTCTTTGGAAATGAAGGAATGTCTTTTTACTATTTGTGCCTAAAAAATTGAATTTTGATTTTAGATATCAAAATAACCATATTCATTGTGCACTTAAAAATATTCTCAACATTTAGCTGGTAAAATACAATTGTTGTCAGCTAATCCACCACAGATGATATAGATTCAATTTTATCAGAGCGATTATTTATTGTTGAATTCTTGTGTAAAGGTGTAAGGAAGATAACACTGCCCAGCTATTGGCTGAGTCAGGGTCAGAGGATGTAGCGCGCCGACTAGTAAAGGCTGACCCGGCCGGTTCTGTAATATCCGCACGACAAACCAGAACAAATACAGTAGCTGTTGGTCAACTGGGATACCTGCAAGGGGAACATAGTGGAGGGCAGGTAACAAATTGTATGGGTATATAGACCCCCCCCCCTCCTTTCTAACAAAGGATAAATTTAATGGTCCTTCCTTTTTTCTTACCTCTCTTCTTTACGCATTTCAAAAATCAACAAATTTTGAAATAAAATGTCATTTGTAATCGTGTAGTTATAAAATTTACTATTTTTTTTAATGTTATTGTTATGCCTTTTTCTTGTTATTTTTTATTTTATCAGTTTATAGAACCTAAAGTTTGTTTCAAATGTCTTTACACCAATAGTCATTTAACTGCAAAAGTAGAAAAAATAATAGAATTGAGTTTTTGCCACACACTCAAATTTGCTCAACCCTTTATCTTTGCAACCTGTTGGTGTAATCCTTAAATATTTCCAACTAAGACTATTTGATCAATCAGAAATTATAGTTTGAAAAATCAAAGATCCACATCGGGTTGCAAAGATATGAACATTAAAAAATTTTGTGGGAAAAATTCAGTCCCTTTTAATATAGAAAAGTAAATTTTATTTTATTTTCAGAATCTGTTTACTTCAAGCTGCAGCTTAATACTAATCATCAGTCAAATATACATTTATATATTAAATTCATAAAATACAGGGTGTTCTAATATACATGATAATTTAAAGAGGATCAAATTATGATATTAAATATTCATTTCTAGATAAAAACAGGCAGAATATCCAATAAAACAGACAAAATATCCAATAAAAACTTTTATTTTATTCAAAATATGCTCGCAGTTAAATACGGTAACTTAAATATATTTGAAAAAATCTTAGCTCGTCTTCTTTTAATTGTAATATTTAGTGGGACACACTGTACTTATGAAGATCATATACATTATTACGATAAGTAATTTTTAATCTTATGATTTATATAAATTAAACGTGAGATTAGAACACTTTGTTATCATTAATTAGTTAAATTAAGTCTTCCAATTTAAACAAAAGTGAATGTAAACGATAAAGAAACATCTTGTTCGCATGAAAAGATGCTTTATTTTTTTTGTGAAAAATATTTGTTCTGAAACTTTGCTTATTAATATGATAAAATTGCTCCAGTTCGTTTCTTATTTCCATATTTTGCTTTACTCGATGAAAAAAAAATACCGTGTGAACTCGAAATCTACTGATATTATTTAGATTTTTTCTGTTAAACTTCCATATTCTTTACTGATTTACTTCCATTGAAATATTAATGCTGTGATCTTGTTTAGGACTGAAATATATTCTATATTAAACAATTTTTTTGTGTTATTACTGTTTTTTAGTGAAAACTTTTGTTTTGAAAAAAATGTTTTTATTGTTAAATTGTCTTCCAGTGACGATTTTAGTTTAAATGTTGCTCTCCATCATGATCATGATCGAATCTAAAGTTACGCGGATCTTTGTTTTAACTAAATCACGATTG